TTTTAATGACCATATTATTGAAAACCGAAAACGTACAGGGTTAGTGTGAACCCTTGTTTATTACCATACAAAAAATCACATATTTATCTCGCAGCGTTAAATCACAATGTTTAGAATAGAAACCCATGTTTTCGAAAAAAACTCGCACTAGGTACGAGCGATCTATTGTGTTCCTTAATAAATGACACCGAATCCTTTTCTGTTTACCGACTGCATCCGCTAATAATAATGAAATTTTAGCCGCGAATACAAGAATTGGGCTGCAATTTTTTCACTCTCGAATAAGGAACTTTTACTGTCTTTAACGAAGTAGGTAACCCTCAGTGCATGAGTCAAACTCGTATTTCCCTGCTTCCGTAATGCGATACAAAATGATTTGTGGTTAAATGCATCTGTTTGAAAGTACACCAATTAATTTTATCTGTGCAAAATGTACAGGAAATTTTCGCGATATTATACCTATAAATTGCAGTGGCGGTTGTAAAACTCTAAGTATAACAGCAGTAAACAGTGTAGATACACGTTTTTGCTTATGTACCTGCGGATGTTCTCTAAAACTAAACCGTTTTACAACCGCGTTTCGCGGATAATTGGGTTATTAAAATCGCATGCATTGACCGTGGCAAACAAAACACTACGCCGTCCCTGAAACAATAGAAATATATCGGGAAATACTGAAAAGGTGATACCCATTATAAAAAAAAAGAATAGTTTTCCCGTGAATGCGATTTTATGTTACCCATTGGTCACGCTTGCCTTAACAATATGATTCACTTGTTGTAACATACAATGTATAATTTTTAATTACTATTATACGTACAGATAATACCTGTTCTGTATTAATAATGACAAGAGACATAAGTGCAAAACAATGAATCAGAATCTGTTTTTCATAATATCGAATTGGAATGCGTAGTCGCTGTATTTTTCTATTTTTTTCTTTCGTTTGTTTATTGATCCACGCACACGCCTCTTATCTTTATAACTTTCTATTCAAACATTCTTTCACCCTCTGTTAGAACGTTTTTTAACGTTTCTTTTGTTAATTTAAAGTGCAAACAATGTACAATGTCGATTCTTGTAACAGGTGAAAGGAAAAATACAGCGCTATTTTCTATTTTCTATCTATACAGTAAATTTAGCAGTTAACAGATGATTTAACGAACTGTAAATGCACCTACAGTTTCTCTTGACCAAGTTAAACTTTTGCAAGCATATTATTATATAAAAAATAGATCTACTACAACATTAATTACTAATATTTTAAAATCTTTAGATTGCCTTAGAAACAACTCTCCCTTTCTATGTTAATACATTAGGGCAATAACTTCTTTATTATAACTTAAAACAGCTTGGATTTACTCTGTGCATAACAAGAAAGTATTGGCGTTGAATATTAATTAAACAACAACTGGCGTCATTGTTACATACTTGATTAAATAAATTAGCATATGTTTGATTTAGGTTTTAATAGCTTTCAATACAACTATTTAAAAAATTGAATCATCTGACATATCTTTTTAAAGAGTACCCTAAATTTGTTAGTACTTGTCGAAAATTTGCGTGAGCTTTTTTATGTTCGGATTTTCTTGTTGTACCTAAAGGTATTTACCTGATAGTCGTTTCAAATTTAATCGTACCGAAAATCTGTCAGTACCACAAGATTTTCCGTACTTTTATATGTATGTTTCATGCATACAACATTCAGAAATAATTGCTTTACATGTCGAAAATTTACGTGCGCTTTTTAATGTTCGGATTTTCTTGTTATATTTAAAGGTATTTACCCGATAGTCGTTTTAAATTTAATCGTACCGAAAATCTGTAAGTACCACAAGATTCTCCGCACTTTTATACGTATGTTTCATGCTTGAACCATTCAGAAATAATTGTTTTACATGTCGAAAATTTACGTGCGCTTTTTTATGTTCGGATTTTTTTGTTATATTTAATGGTATTTACCTGATAGTCGTTTTAAATTTAATCTGACCAAAAATCTGTTAGTGCCGCAAGATTTTAATTTTAATGTGTCAAAAATGAACTATCTTCTTTTTATATCCAGATTTTCTGGTAGAATTTAATTTTATTAATCTAATAGTCTTTTTATTGTAATCCAGACCAAAGTCAGCTGGCTACACAATATTCTTCGTGTTATTCTCATTTTATGCTTGCAAAAAGTTTAGTGTCTTGGTATTTTCGCAAATGTGAATTGATTGTAAGGGAATAACGAAGGAATATATACTTGTTTGCACGAGTAATTAACTGTAGTGGTAGGACGATAAAATCATCTTCCTTTTGAAAGAGGAAGACTTTGACATTTTCATTTCCACGAAAACAGATCGATATTGTTTGTGTGCCAATAACATAATACGTGGCTGAATCATTTTCTGCTATTTGCAGATTTTTATGAATTTTTCATGAAAATAAGTGTTTCAATTATTAAGGGGTTCAAAGGGAAATTTAGATTTGGATTTATTAGTGATATGTAAATTACTTCTTATGACAATTTAATTTTCCCATTTTCCAATTTTCATACCAGTCTAAATTAAATTACCATCTTTGACTCATGGAATACGTACTTTTTATTTTACTAAACCGTAGATTTTTTTCTTAACGTGAGTAGTATTTTCTTTTTGTAATAATTGCTTGTTCGAAAGTCTCTCATGGGAATTTCGCGTGTTTGGCTTTTTTATTTTCGTGATAAAATGTGTAATTTCATGATTAAATACGAGGTTAATGAACCCACAAAGACTGCACCCTAAATTATAATCGTAAAAAACAGAGAAAGTGTATTTCATAAATCATTTCATTTTACGAAAAACAAGGGAAAGAAGTCACGTTTTATTGTTTATTGTAGTTGAAAACTGTCAACAGATTATTTACTGCATTTCTAATTGGTTATAGGCAGAAAACTATAACGACAACAATTTGTGTATACCTGTAATAAGTAATTAATTTTAAAACGTTACAAAACATCCATTTGTCTATTACTGTAGTTTGATTTGTTTCTTGCGATCATTCGGTTCGTTGACGCTTGTTTTATTGGAAAATGTGCATACCTAGATAAAATATGTGCTCGGAGGTAAAACAGTTCTTCTATTTACTTTAATATTTATTGATTTTTGTTGATTATCATCTGCTAAGTACCTATTAACAAAGAAAAATTACTGTAGTGCAATTGTTTTTCGAAATGGACAATTCGAAATGAATAGCGGGGGTTTCCCCGAGTAGGGTATCAGTGGGCTATTTTTTCCGTCAGCGCGGTTTTTCTTTGTTTTATTTTTATATAATGTTATAATACATACGAGATTATCATTTCTGGTACATCCTTTTATTTTTTATCGTCAATGTGGAATGAATTTGTCTAATAAGAATGTGTTTCGACACGGTTGCTGTTGCAGTAATACCGCACAGATAAGTAGTTTTTCAAAGTAACCACAACAATTTGTGTTAGTGGGAAAAATTGCGAAATTCTAACCATCGTCATTATTATTTTTTTTTTTCACAATTAAGAAAGTAGGTCTCTACCATTTAATTATATTTTTACCTTGTATATTATACTGTAGTTTGGGGTGTTTTGCTTGGTACAACGATAGGGGTTTCCCGATATTATTCCTTTCAGTAAACTAATTTCTTTAATTATTAACAAAATAGTTTAACAATACTGTCATAAAAATACAAAATAAAACGTAATGAACACTTACAGATTTCGATTTAAATTGAGCAGATAGAATTGTGTTGATTTCAGTTTTTGAAATGTTAGGCATTCAAAAACGAATTCGTTTTTATTAAAATATGAAATAAGGGAGTTATAGAACAATTCAATTTAAAAATATATTAGGCAATTAAGATACAAATTGTAAAAACGAAGAGAAGATTATTAGGAGTTGTTTGTTGATTATAGTTTTCACTCGGGTAAATGCTGGTAAATAATAAAAATTACGTTATAAAAAGATACATAAAATATTAGTTCACGTCCGTACAACTGCATTACTAATATTACTTGTAGGTACAATTAGTTGACTGCGTGATGTGGTTTTAAAAGCAGTAAAGCGTCAGCTAATCCTTTTTGTTTAAAATATGCCACTTCCGACTACCGTTATTTAGTAGAACATTCGTGTACATTCTATCTGGCAACGAATTCCGGTTAAAAGGTTGGGTCATAGTGGAACTCGTACAAACACCTGCCTTTTTTTCCCATTCCTAATTAAGGTGTGGAAGAATGGCTCATTGCACTAATTAAATTTACTAACAAACAAAGTCAGCGACCTGAAAGATAGAACGAGTTACATTTTCTCATCTTGTAGAATTTTTTTTACAAATTCGAATTTAACAATTCCATTATTATTAATAAAGCAAATTTTAATGATTATTATGTGGTGGAAAGAAAGGCAGCTGTTTTGTTATTATCATTATAATTTTTTTTATAAGTTTAAACAATGAACCCCTCCAGATGTATGGCATTTCTTTTAAACGAATATAAAGTAAATCATTATTTATTAATACAATAATCGAAAGTTTTATTATTTACTATTATCTTTACGTGTGAATCAGAAACCTCGTTGACCATAATTTTTTTTTCCCTGATATTATAAGCATAATAACGTCTGGTGATTTTCTAATTTTGATGATGACCAAGTTTGAATACGAATTCTGTTAAACATTCGCTCATTTAATTAACATGGGCGTTTACACGTATGATTAATTATTGCCTTTGCTACCAGGAAAAACACCATTTTGTGTTAATAAGAAGCACGTTTACTTTAAACGTTTTGAAAACTGCAATAATTTTAAATTACGATCGTCTGGACCGATTTTAGAGCAAACTTCATTAACCCAAAACCCAAACACCATAAATATTAACATTTAATATGATTTTCGTTCTACATATAAAATCCACTTCATTAGAAAAGTATTTACACCTTTAAACCTATATTAAGTATATTATTTTTATTATTTATTTATTTACTTTTAAGCTAATATAATTTCTTTTATTTCAGTATACTACTGTTCAAAACCAATTAGAATTTACATGTCACCATGGCCCTTTCGAATGCGAAGGGAATAAAATCCAGGCATGTGCCTTGGCCCTTATTGAAAAAGGGCAACCCTCTGAAGGACTAGGATACAACAGAATTACCGTTGGTTTTATCAACTGCCTAATGGACAAGGTGGATCGTCAAACCAGCAATACCACTTTCCCCCTTAAAGAATGCGCCGAAATCAACCAAGTTACCAATTATGTGGATATCGATAATTGTGCCCATCACGTTGATGGTAAGTTAAACAAATTAAAAGACAAAATAGCAAACGCAGTCTGGTCTTTTTTTTAATATGTTTTTTTTTTGTATTTTTAGGTAGTAAACATCTTTCTACCCTCGGTGAACTCACCAAAAACTTGAAACCGCCACTAACTTCAGTTCCTACAATTGTCTTCAATAAGCAATACAGGAAAGAAGATAGTGACCTAGCACAAGAAAATTTCGTAAGGGCATTGTGTCAGTACATCCACCACGATAAACCCGCAGAATGCAGTGGTAGCAGCGGGTTAAAAACATCCTTCACCATTTTGGTTCTCCTTGTATCCTTAGCCTTTGCCAAATTATTTTGAACACTTTTTTTGCGTTAAAGTACCTCTTACTACACAATACGTATTTATTGAACAAAATGGTTGGTGTCAAAAAGTCTTTAAGTACATAGAAATATAAATCTTTAAAGTTGCATTTTTGAAGTTGTATAAATGTATTATTAGGTGTTTTTGAGATACATGTTAAATACTACTCAGTATGAGGCTGTTCTTATAATAGTCAAAGTCCAATGCAAGTGCCTCAAAGAGCAGAAAAATTAACACACTTCTTTACATTTTTCTTAATTTTTGTATTTTTTGTTATGCCAAATCATTATTGTACTAGTACCTTTATCAAAAAAAGTGTTAGTATTAGGGCCTTAAAAACTTAAAAGTTTTAAAACACAATTTTAGTAATTGTATTACTGTTAATTTTAGACTATTCTCTATTTTGTATCTGTTTGTTTGTATTACTTCTCATTATTAATAATTAATAGATTTTCACTTATTAAACGTCGTTACTTAAGTATTAGTCTTTAATAGTCGCATAATTCTAACTAATGATACTTTATTAAATTTTGTTAATATCATTTCCATTTTAATTTTGACCTTTTATATCATCTTTTATGTAATTTCCTTAGCCTAAATATGTTAATTTAAATTGATTTGATCTTCTAATTGACTGCTACTTAAATGGTAAAGTTAGCAGTTGTCATCCACAGGCAGGTAATTAATCATTTTCATTTTAATGGTAGAAACTTGCAAGCTTAAGTGTGATGTGGTACTTCAAAAAATAAGTGGGTTTTTCAACAAAATATCATTTGTTGATCAAAGGATAAAAACCTTTCCAAGTTTTATTTTACATAGTAAGATGCTTTAATTAAATTTTATAATTAACTTAACAACTTATTTACACTCAGATTCAGCTGAGATAATTTTCTTTTCCCAAAGTGCCTATATATGGCAATTCTTAAACCTATCGCTTTAATAAGTCGAGAATTAAAAAAATAAAATTTCCCGCCGTTACCTTGCCCGAGTTTGTTGAAAAATTTGTAATTTTAGTGGAACGCACCCTATTTACCCATAGCAGAAATTTACATTATGTGCCTCTATGGTTATGGGTTCAGTTTTCTATGATTTAGTTATGTGTTTATCTATGGTTAAAAGTTATTTCATGTGTTATTTATTTAATAGCTAAGCTAATACGTTCTCTTGTTATTATTTTACAAATTGATCAATAAATGACACAGAATTGAAGATAATTTTAAACCTGAAGCAGGAATCATCCACTGTACCGTTAGACTTGCTGCACTTTGTTGTTTGTTACTGACTTTTCGCCTAGAACAATTTTGCAATCAATTAAGGTGAGAATCTGATAGTGAGTACTTTTAATATTCTATTATGTGTTTAATTTTTAAATCCTAAAGTCTTTAACCTTCCCTAGGAATGGAACATTTGTGTATTTGTTATTTTTTTCTTTCATCTGTATGTTAGTGTAATGGAACACACCCTATTTGTCTTTACCATAAGCTATGGTTATTTCTTTTGACGATCTCTTATCTATGGACAGTTTATTGTTTATTTGTTTTTTCGCCATTTTAACTTGTTGGTTAGTTTTCGTATTTTACTTGCTTTCGTTGCTTATTTTTATTTTATTTCATGTGTTATTTATTTAATAACATAGTTAATTTGTTTTTTTTTGCCTGTTTCTATAGACTAACCGACAAATGAGAACATTGAAGTACAAAGATATTGTTCTTCCTGGACCTGGTTTAATCATGTATCATCTTCCAGTTAATATTCAACTGATGCAATGGTGCAGCTCTCCCTAGATTTATTTGCGTAGAAACTTTGAGACGCTATATTTTGCAGTTGATTAAGGTAAGAATACTTCAAAGTTAATTGAAAACTGCTTGTTATTAATGTGTTGCCAACATACCTGTTTCAGATCAACGGTGGAGAAGACAAAGAAGACCTCGTAGTTATGATACTCCTCTATCTTGCATGCTTTATTTTGTTTGAATTAATTTTTTATTTTAGATGTTTTCATTTAGTAGCTGTAGTAGCAGCATGTTTCTTATTTACCTCTTCGCTTAATTTACTGCATATCCTTACTATTTTGCTTTGCATTTACCCTAGGTGTTCTACTTGATTCAATGTTTCGGTATCGTATCTTCTCAGCCTTGTGGAACTAGGGAGGGCCTCCTCGAACGACTTGCTTTGGCTTTAGCTATTTAGTTGATCTAAAAAGTGTCTTATACACTTTTCGCGAGTCTACTCTAGCATTACTTCCTTTCAGACAGGGTACAGTGGTTTATCTGGAATAGGAGCAATAGGCGACTGCCCAGCTTGCCTTGGCGAAATCTGTCCGATCTTCTCTACCAAATCTATCAGTATTTGTCGTTAGTCCTTGTAATTGCACTATTCGCTTTCAGATTATGAAGTATTCCCTAAGAAGAACGAAGACATCATTTTCTTTTTTGCTTTTTATTGTAATTTCTTTAATATTTCATGTGTTTACTTGCCCTTCTCTTACAGGTACATTGTTTTTTACTGCATAAACTGTTATATCTTTATAATCATAACTTAGGTTGATATTTAAAATGTTTCTAAATTGAATTTTTGGTATAATTGTTAAATTAAATTAATTATTTGTTTACGCTTTCAAAATTAATGTTCGTTTGGGTGGATAGGGTGGCTATAAGGGGAGATGCGGAGGCCACAGAAGGTTAGGGAGGCTTTTTTCTCCC